TTTTCCCCAGGCAATACATCTCTTTTCCTCTTTTCAGGTCAAACCTTTCCACCTCTCCAGGGCCTGGGGTGAACATTCCAGCAGAGAACACATCAAGGACTTTGCTCAAATCATCATTCCTGCTCCTCTCTCCACCCAAATTCCTGGAATTTCCTGCTTGCACAGTGCTGGGAGTGCTTTTAGCTGGAAAGGTCTGTGACTGTGTTTTATTGTGAAGTTTTGTTTTAAAAAATTTGAGAGGGAGGGAGGGATGGAGGGATTCACCAAATTGTATTTCTGACATTGCCTCAGCCACTAAAAGAACAGAAGTTTTCCCAATGTTGAGCAAAAATTGTACCCCAAGCTTATTTTTATTAAGATACAGTAAATTCTTTTGATTGTTTTCCCAATAGAACTTAAGGGAAACTTCAGAATATAAAAGTCAGTCCAGAAGATTATATTTTGTTGAAGTTATAGACATTAAAATTGGAAATTTTGGACAGAAACACTGATTTATAGGGAAACTTGAGTCCCATTTGTTATTTACAAGCTGCTGGTGTCATAAATCCAGACAGCCAAATGTAGGACAGAGACAAGAGGGAAAATAATTTCTAGCAGGGCTTTTTGGCAAGGCAGCTGAATAAAATATCTTAATATCTTAACCTAAAGTCATTTTTACTGGTAAAGCTGCAGTTATTCCTGTACTAACCATGCTTACAAATGGAATTTTAACCAAAAACTTCATTATCAAGTCCCTGTAGCCACTTTATTTCAAGGGCAGCACAAACTATTCCACTTGGCTTTAAACCTTGTGCTGTTTTAAACTCCCTGCAGTGCTTTAAAATCCCCAAAATAACCAAATAAACCAAAAAGCAGGGTGGGTTGGGTGGTGCAGGGACTCTGGGTTGTATTTTAGGTTGTTTTTTCTGTGATCATCTCTCCAACAGGTCCAGGTCTTTTCCTAGATTTGGGGTTCCAGAATATTTTTTTTTTTTTTTTTTTTTGATGCATGTTTTTATCCATCTGGGACAGATGCAGGATATTGATGTGGAAAGATGGTGGAAGAAAAATCCATAATTGCTCAATGAGGAAATCCTGTGCAGAACTTTCATTCCTTCTGGAATCATCTTTATTTAACCATCAGAATAAAATGGATTTGGGCTCAGCTGGGGGAAATATTTGGTCTAAGTTAAAAATCAGGTTCAGCAGGGGAAAAGCTGCACATAATTATTATTTTTCAATAAAAAATATTTTAAATCAGTCTTGTTTGCTTTTCTTAATAGAATATAGTGACATTTTTATTGACTTTGACACAAGTGTGGCTTCCACCAAAATAAATGGGGTTTTTTTAATGGGGTGATGTTCACAAATGTAGGGTGAAAGTCAGAGGCAGAGAATGACATAAATCCTAAACTCATTGTGGAAAGCTGCATGGGTGGAGGCTCTGTGGAGAGCTGCAACCACAGCCTTGAATCCCAAAGCAATGGTAAATCCTAAAAAAACCCCACCACTTCAAATCCTATAGAGGGATCCTATAGAGACAGATAAGAGAACAAACCAGAGGAGGAAGGAAATTAGAAAATACAATAAAATTGACACAGAGGGAAAAAACACATTGGGTGAGATAAAATGAGCTAAGCTGGTCCCCAAAGAGGGAGAAATTGATCTCCAATGATCAAAACTAACCCCAAAGTTTTCTGGAGATAGAAAATTTGAACTCTAATAACCCAAATGAACTATAGTAACCCCAATTTTTAATTGTTGACCTCAAGTAGCCCCAAAATAACCTAAAGTAACCCAAAAATGAGCTAAAGTAACCTCAGAGTACTCTGAAGAAAGTGGGTTTGAACTCTAATAACCCCAATGACCTATAGTAACCCCAAACCTTAATGGTTGACCTCTAGTAACCCCAAAATGACCTGAAATAACCCCAAAATGACCTGAAATAACCCCAAAAGTGACCTAAAGTAACCCCAAATTTTTCAGGAGAGAGATAGTTTGACCTCTAATAACCCTAATGACCTATAGTAACCCCAAATTTTAATTATTGACCTGAAGTAACCTCAAAAATGACCTAAAGTAACCCCAAAAGACACCCAAAATTTTCTGGAGAGAGTGAGTTTGACCTCAAGTAACCCCAATGACCTAAAGTAACCCCAAACCTTAATGGTTGACCTCTAGTTACCCCAAAATGACCTGAAATAACCCCAAAAATGACCTAAAGTAACCCCAAAATTTTCAGGAGAGAGAGAGTTTGACCTTTAATAACCCCAATGACCTATAGTAACCCCAATGACCTATAGTAACCCAAAATTTTAATTGTTGACCCCAAGTAACCCCAAAATGACACAAAGTAATCCCAAAATGCTCGATAAAGAATTCATTTGACCACAAGAAACCCCCAACTAATCAAAATTTGGGGTTACTCTAGGTCTTTGGGGTTATTAGAGGTCAAACTTGCTCTCTCCTGAAAAATTTGGGGTTACTTTAGGTCACTTTTGGGGTTACTAGAGGTCATTTTGGGGTTACTAGAGGTCAACCATTAAGATTTGGGGTCTAAAAACCCCAAAATTACCTCTAATAACCCCAATGACCTCTAATAACCCAAATGACCTATAATAACCCCACTGACCTATAAAAACCCCAAATTTTGGTTGCTGACCTCACGTAACCCCAAAATGACCTCAAGTAACCTCAAAAACGACCTAAAGTAACCCCAAAAGAGCCCCAAAATTTTCTGGAGAGAGCAAGTTTGACCTCAAGTAACCCCGATGACCTAAAGTAACCCCAATGACCTAAAGTAACCCCAAACCTTAATGGTTGACCTCTAGTAACCCCAAAATGACCTAGAGTAACCCCAAAAGTGACCTAAAGTAACCCCAAAATTTTCAGGAAAGAGATAGTTTGACCTCTAATAACCCCAATGACCTATAGTAACCCCAAATCTTAATGATTGACCTCTAGTAACCCCAAAAGTGACCTAAAGTAACCCCAAAAATGACCTAAAGTAACCCCAAAATTTTCAGGAGAGAGATAGTTTGACCTATAGTAACCCCAATGACCTATAGTAACCCCAATGACCTATAGTAACCCAAAATTTTAATTGCTGACCCCAAGTAACCCTAAAATGGCACAAAATAATCCCAAAATGCTCAATAAAGAATTCATTTGACCACAAGAAACCCCAAATGGC